CATTACACTGACTGGACAAAACATTTAGCTGACCTTTTTAAACGAAGAATTCGGACGCTTTTCCAGGTTTAATCTCATGCTCTCGATGGACTTTCCGACATTGCCTAAAAAAAGTATAAAAAAAACGTACGTATTTCAATTTTTCAGAAAAAAACGAGGCTAAAATATTGAAAGGTTCGACATAGTCAGCATGCGGAATACTTGCAATCATGGATTATTTAGTGGTTCGATACATTTTTTCAGCAGAGGGAGCCCCTTAAATTCATCAGTGACAGGACTCACGTCCACATTTTCTTGAATTCACCTGGTCGTATCGATTTCAAATGCTCCACGAATAGACGGCCAACAATTCTGGTAACTTTTCAACAGCGACGTAGACCAGCATTAGGAAAATAATTTCAGTAAATAATTCTTTCCGTCTCGAAAGAATTGTGCGTCTTTTCGCTTTGATTTCAACGTCAATAGGAGTCGAATCTGGGCATAAACATGTTTTTCCTTCCAGAAGCGGATGCTTCATGATGCTCTTCTCTCGTTAGTCTCTCTGAAAGAATGGTTGAAATCGGGAAAATCATTCGGGGTGTTGTTGGCCCTGCAGCCAGTGTAGCGAAAAAGATCAGGAGATTCAGATTTAGAATCCTCAAATTATGCCTCAGTTCGGGTGGTTTTTGGCTGCAAATTTTTGCAACTGCATCTCTTTTGTACTGGCTTGTTACATGGAGTCAAGAAAAAGAGAAAATCAAGGTGCACGTGAAAACTGCCAAGTTGAAAGAAATGATGGAGACATCCTGTGACCTTACAAAAAATGCCTTGTTGAACTGGGACTTCGAAGTCCAAAAGGATCCTCATCTAATTCAGTACATACGAGATAATTTTTTAATCCACTCGGGTGGTTCTGGAAGGATCCCTAATCCTGACATAATACCTCAGCCAGTGCTCAATGATGAGTATGAGGACCCATCTGAAGGTGTAATCATGAAAACTGCCGTCATTCCTCTATTATTCATGAATGTATGAGAACTTCGATTCAGACAATCATTTTGACTCTTACATTTTGTGGTTCATGTTACAGTATACAAAACCGGGAACGTTTTTCGAAGGTGGTGTTCTGGATGGTAAATATATTTCCACTACTTATTACTTGGAAAAGAGACTCGGCTGGTCAGGGATGCTTGTGGAGGCAAATCCAAAAAAAAATACCCTGATATCTGCGAGGAAAAATTCCCGGGAAAATGTCTGGACAGCACATGTGTGTCTATCTCCTCAGCCCACCCCATGCAAGGTTAAAATGTTTTTAAATTGCATTTCGTATTTTTCGTAACTCGAATTTTCGAAGTTATGGAAACAGTCAATGCATATTCCTCCAGACCTTATATCACGATTTAAATTTTTTTGTCCTTACAATTTTGTTTTCATCAATGTTCGCCGTTTTTGAAACACTTGCGAGAAGTTACATGAAAAAATGCGCATTTTAAATGTTAATTCTTTCGGGAGATTTTCATCTAGGTTTTTTCAAGTATCTCTCAACAACCAGTTGAGGTTAATCTGGCCGAAGTGACATGACCATTGACGAAAAAAATTCAAGTTTATCGCTACGCCTTTCTGCGACACTTTCCTAATGCATCTGAACATTGGTTCCATGGTGCTGTTTAGCCAAGAAGTAAGTCTTCGCTTTCACTGAGTTTATCAATTACCAGGGTACATTCAACGTTGCTGTCGACAAGCCTAAGAATGGGAAAGACGTCATAGATTTGGATCCAGGCCACTATTGGCATGGTTGGATACTGCGCAAAGAAGACTACTTTCTGGATGCCACAGATCCATCTGTTGAGACGTACATCAAGGATGTTCCTTGCTTCCCTTTGTACTCTTTGTTGGCTGCTGCAAACCTGACCAACCTGGACTTTTTCTCTCTGGATGTGGAAGGTGTTGACTGGAGGGTTCTCCTGTCTGTCCCTTGGGAAGAAGTTAACTTCAAGGTGAATTGGTGCTTCCTTTTGCAAGAGATTCAAGATTCTTTGACCTATAAATTCAACTAAACAAGTTTCACCTATATCAGGCGGTGAGGCTGCATGAGAGAGAACCAACAGTTGATGAGGAACCTTGGGATTTTGCACTTGACTTCTTGCAAATCAATGGCTACTTATGGCATAAGCATCTTCTCCATTATCCTTCAGGAAGACATCACGGACAATATTATTTCTCTCTCCAAAAATGATGCGGTGTAAGATGAGCACAAAATGCATGTTTAATTATTGAACATTCACGTTTTTAGTTCTAATGATAATCTGCTGTCATTTTTTCTGCGATGAAGAATCTGAAAAATATAGATTTCTTTGGAGAGAAGTGGCCAAACCCGGCTTCAAATTATAATTAACATTCTCCGGCTATTTTTTGGTTTTTTTTAATCATAAAAAACAAAAACAAAACAATAATGTGGTACGATGAATGACTGACGATCTTTACCCAATTTGCCACGGTTTCGAATGACGAACGCAATTCCTGTGTTCTTCTTTCGAAGGAAGAACACAAAAAACGTTTACAAGAACCTCGAACATACAGGCCAAGATACATAGATTTTCACTCACTTTTCTGACTTCGTGGACGCGACTTCAGATGTCAACATCTCTTGAATTCCAGGATAGGCGGAAAATTTGCAAGCAATATTATGGAAGGCAATAGAATGAACGGAAGTCCCATCGGGATTTCCAAACCTCGACGCCGCATGGAAAAAACTTCAACGCGCACAAATCGCACGATCTCTGGGGAAAAAAAACATAAGCTGTAAACTCGGAAGACAAATACGCGATGAGTAAATTACGTCGCATTCTTCTCAAATACGAGTACATTAAGCAAGAATTCCGATCACGTCCCGTAATAAACAAACGAATCACCCGAACGGACTAACGCATTCAACAAAACAAACACTGTACGAACGTAATCAACGAAATTCTGCATTCCGGCATGATTCCAAAATGAGCATCCAATATGAACCTTTCTTCATGACAAGATCTGTCTCCACATAAAAAAAATTGTTTTGCAGCTACGGGATACAGTACAGTACAGTACTCGGAATGAACACCGCATATGATTTGTATTTATTCAATTATTAGATTGAATCTCATTACTCACATTCTGCGCATATTAATATTTACAAAATCCAGATATTGAGCCCTCCATCCCTTGATTTCTTCAGCAAAAAATACTTTGAGATCATTCATTTTTTTTTTTGAATGTGCACAGAGATTTGGAGGAAAAGACTGGCATGATCCTAAATTTCTTCGGATTGTTCTAGCTTCTAGGGACTTGAAACAGTTCAAATGCTCGCTAATTATCACGCTTTCCATCAGAGGAGACAAAACCTTTGATAGGATCTTTGAAAAATGTCATGACTTTTTCATAAGCTAAGTCAAATCGTACGCATGCTTCCTCATGATTCAACCCTCGGTATACACACAAGAGTAAGGAAGCATTGAAATGGATAACCAAAAACTTTCCTTCGTATCACCATTCTCACATGATTAATCCAATACGGAAAAAATTTGAGAGCAGACATTGCAGAACTTTTCTTAGGTCGAGTTAATTCGAACGAAATGTTCGGAAACAAAACTTGAATCCACAGCACGTTTCATCACGGTAACACAAATGAATATGCAATCGCAGCATTACCGACGTGTTAATTCAACGGGACCGCGAAATGCGTTCAATAAACACGCACAAACGCAGACATTCACAAGAAAAAGCCCTTTCTTGCAATAGTATCTTCCGCACATCGCTATTCCCTTTCATAAATATTTCTTGATGGGCATGTCTTCTTATTCAGTCCAGTATCTTTGGATCAAATAAATCAAAAAGTACGCCACTAGACGATGTCAAATTTTTGCACCAGGTTGTTTCACTCAAAACTTTGGTCTTCGACGCATGATTGCGAGCGAAAATGCGTTAAGGAATATGCCATTGTAGATGCGTCGATGGACACATCCAGTCAAACATACTTGTACAATCCATCAGAACGTACAATCTGCATTCCAAGAGTCCACGTCTCATTCAGTGAACATGTGTATTGTATGATTACACTTGTCCGCGTCATCGAAGTAGCTTTTCGCGTAACGAATACTTGCACCCCCACCGAACACCCATTCACCCGGAATATTTGCACTTGTAACCATCAATTTCTCATGCTTCGCAAACTCATCAGGTAGCTCTCAACGGTTTTCCACCTCCACATTCTCACAAATCTTGTTCACAATCCGATTGAATTCCTGCGGAGCGTCGGCAAATATATCATGGCCGGAATTTTCAACCACGTCAAGTCCGACGAAGCCACCTGGTCGCTTCGCCCGGGTCATCTCGGCCGGAGTAGAATCCAACCAAGACTGGGCACCGTATACAAACGATATTCCTAAAGCGGGATCCACTTTGATTAACTCATCCAGAGCTGGATTTTTTGCCCAGAACAGGTCGTGAGTGAGAGCTTGGAAGGCGTCTTCACCGGATCGCGCAAGAACGTTACCGTGGAATAAGTAATCAGCCATTGCACTTGCTTCGTCCTGCAAAAATCACAGAGCTCGAACATTTTATGCTGCATACGTGTCTTTTTTCAAGCGCGCTTTCAGGCGTACAAAAATTATTCACTCTCTTCACCAGATAATAACGGGTAAGAAAAATTTGGTCTCTGACGTATGCGCTCATTTATCGAAATAGAAAACTTTTTGACACAGCAAACGCCGTTTCTTCCATCAGTTCACAGATACTGTACTGTACAGCCTTTCTCAGCATCTGATCACGTAATTACGTAAGTTTAAAAAAGCATCAAACCCATCCCACTCGATTTACAACCAATTCGTAACCAATTAAAATACGTGAATTCGGCTACCTTGCAATCATCGATTTATGTAAACATGCAATTTTTGCAGAACTAGGTGTAAAAGTCATTACGTCACGATATTTTCAATAAATGCATATTGGAAACTTGACCAACGTCATTCACGCAATCTACAATTAACGCACTATGACAAAGATCAAAAGGGACAGATTCTCACGCGAGAAAAACAGCTGGGCCTCAATCTTTCCCTCGTCTCGTTGGAACGATACAGTAATTACTTGCTGGTTGGGGTATAAGCCGGCACTCAAGAAATGGAACTTACTTTCAAAAACCAAGAATATCGGTTCCAGGCGTAGTAAGCACCAATCTTGCTGACGATCGGTCCAAGAGGTCCAAATGCACGTACGATCCTCAAAGGATTTATTCTCGTCAAGTACGTGCTCCGGATCCAAAGTGGTATCGGTTTCGACCAATCAATCCCTTCGCCAATTTTGCTCAATCCCCAAGGATCAACGAGGATCAAGTGTGCCACTCTTTCAGGATACGTAGTAGCATACCGCGACACTACGAATCCGCCCATGCTGTGTCCCAAGAGAATGAATTTTTCCAAATTCATTTGCCGTCTCCATTCTTCAAGCGAATGGACGTAAAATTCTTCAATCTTGCAAGAGATAGATGAAAATAACCCGGAATAAATACACGCGTCGGCACTTCCGCTTGGAAAAGATAACTATGCCACTTCACCGTATCTCACACACGAACGTTTATCGTATTTTATGCAAACTCTGAACGTACTACTGTACTCCTTACCCAAAACTAAGAAACGGTCTCGCGTTACCGTAATTTCCGGTTCCAGGGTGGGCTAGAAATTATTTTTTAAATTTAATAAATTCTATATTACCTGATCATCTCCCAAAATTTTATAAATCAGATTCCAATTCTGGATGGTTCGTGACAGCAAGTGCGAAGGAACTGAAGGCTAATACAGTATACTTTCGGAAAAGATCTTACTAACACAACACGAGCACGGATTTCGTTTTGAAATTTTGGAAGAGTTGCCGAGAGTGAATTTGTGGAAATAACACAGCGAGAACAAATCGATTCGGAACGACTGATACATTGATGAAATGTTCTAGCAGTTTTCAGAAGCATTGAGAAAAGCTTTCTTTTTTCTTTACCTTCTGAGCGTCGGTACAAAACTTGGGCCGAGAACTTCTGGCGAAACCCGGCATGTCAACAGCGTACACATTCCGGGATTTTGAAATGGAGTCGAAATTCATGCACCAGAACGCAGCTCCGTTTCCAAAACCATGCACAAGCACGAGAGGAATAGATTTGTTGTCTGATTCGAAACATAGCGTCCACACATGATGCGGAGAGCTGTCATAAGGGCTGAAGAAGTCAACTTGCTTTCCCGTGAATTTCGACTCGACCCGTGACATAATTCGCGTTTCCGCCATGGCAACATGCGCTTCCGACGTGGGACACCAACGCCAGGAATTGTACCTAATTTCAATAAAAAAACATTTATTTTTAGAAGAACATAGGCCAGAATAAACCAACGATATTTCGGAATACGGTCAGTAAAATTTGCGCATTATCGTCAACATTTCAAGCACCATCTTTCTCATGCAGAAGAGCCACGGAGCTGGTAGACATACTTTTAAAGGTACTGCACTTATGGTCAAAGAATGGTGATATACAGTGAAATCTCGTCAGAACAGATACCATTACAGCTAATTTTTCAGAGTAAAAAACTTTTTCAGAAGTTCCAACAGAAAGCCCATAGAGTTCATGTTCAAACAATCTTGTCATAACAAACTTCCGAATTCCAGCATCACAAACTTTTTGAGAAATGCTCGAACAATTCTCCGGGTAGAAATTTTCGGACATTTTAAATGGATGAACGCTTTAATCAACAAAAGACAGTTTTTCAAATCATCCTCCGAGAATGAAGGGATCGGTGTAATTGATGGAATGCATGATTGAAGCTAATTTTTTCTCAGAAGATCACTCAGTTTTTCGAACAATAATGAAGAATCTGAGAATACCAGAAAAGCTAGATCTACTTGATCATAGGCATGTCTTTTACGAACATTTTTTCCTTTTCCTAATTTTAAAAATCTCAATAAAACAAATTAGTCTGAACTGTATATAACAAGCTTTTTCTGAAGTCCTAAAAAGATTGTTGCAGCAAGATTTTAATGTCTTGAATTATCGTCTTGAAAATGGTACAACTCGTACAATAACGAAATTATTCACACTGTTCTTCGAAATGAAAACAAATGGGTCCTCACCAGTTCCATGGCAAAGCAAGGATGCCTTTATCTTCAACACGCGGCTCGACATTTTCGTTCGTATCACCTCCTTCAGCAGAACACTCTTTCACTTCGGTCCGATTTCCAACCGATGGACGACCAGCGGCGGTCGAAAAACCAGGCATTCCAAGCCGCATGAACGCATCAACAACTTTACCCGCCATTCTGCAGCATTATTCACGAAGAATGAAAAAGCTGTACATGAAAGAGCAACGAAGTAACACTGTCACCCACATTCACCGCCAGTAAAACCATCGTTTCTCGTAAATCTGTCACAAGGTTGAGCAGATAGCACATTTTTGCAAAAATGGTAGCAACATCAATTTGCAGAGCCCGCAATCCTACGTAAATATTCCTGAACTTTGGCACAAGCAGCCTTTCATTGCACAACATTTTCGGAGCTGGAGAGGAAGATATTCTACCAATGGCCACCAAGCAATAACAGCGAAATGAAATGCTTTTTTTTTCGCATGAATCTCGCAGTATGAATCTTTACTGATCCATTGCGCATGCGATCGATTCGACATCATACTTTTTGATGAAACAAAATAAATTACCTTCGTTTAAGAGTTGAAGCAGAACACGGACATCAAAATAAATTCGACCTCTTCCTCCCGTCACTCACATATTTCAGGAGTGACTATGCGCATGTCCGGGGACACAAAAAAAAAAAGCTCTCCGGGATCGCCAGAGGGTAAAATCATCGTTTATTCAACGGTTCCGCGTGAACAGATTCCTTTGTTTTTCTTTCCCTTCAACTATTGATATAGTTTCGTATTTTTCCAGATTCCCGTCGATTATTCCGATTTCCCACAGCACCAGCAGATATCATTTCACAGTTCGTCCCAAAAAAAAGATAAGCAACACGAAACTTGATTGACCTCAACTGGCTGATACCGCCTCTTTCTTCGATTCTATTTCAGCTGCGGTTCCCTTCAGAAGATCCACATTTTCACAGACTTCGTTGACCAAGTCGTTGAAAAGATCCGCACGATCAGCGTAGACGTGGTGACCGGCTGAAGCAATTTTTTCAAGCCTCACGGATTCGCCGCGTTTTTCCTTAATACGTGCTCCGGGCTCCGAACTAATCCAGGATCCGGCTCCGTAAATAAGCGTTATAGGAACAGAAGGATCCAAAAGGTCCATTCGAGCCAACATGGGGTCTTTGGCCCAGCCGAACTGCATGCTCATGGCATGGAATGCTCCTTCTCCAGACGGATTTTGGGCGTTGCAGTGGTAAATATAATTCGGGATTATATCGACATCCTCGCCAACCTGCACAGCGACGGACACATTATTCATAGATTTAAAAAAAATAAGTATTTCATCAGCTCAAAGAATTTGGGAAAATATCCGCTACGATAACACCTGAACCACAGTTATAATATTAAATTTTTATATGAGAAAGGATCACCTGCATTTATCGTAAAATTCGTTTCACGTCAGTTAAAATCTTTTCAACATTCACTATAAATCCGGCTTTCACACATGGAAGTTTTCCAAAAATATAGCGGAACAATGCGAATCAGACTTCACTGAAATCTTCTCAAACATTCAAAAAGGAATATTTGAAACGAAGGAGAAACTCAAAGGCCTCCTAATAGTTGCTATTCTGTGAAGCGTCCGCGTTTTCACTTTGTTCAAATTGTTGAATAAAATGCGAGCAGAACGACGTCAAAATCAGTAGTGAATATTGTTATCCAAGAACTATTTTACAAAAGTTGGTGATCAACGATGATCAGTCGTTGAGAACTACTTTCTAATAATTAATGAAAAAGAGGATCGGAGATTTAATTCGTTTTCTGCAACTTTTGAAGGAAATGCAAAAGTTACTCCGTGAGAGTATTTCAAATGTTTATTTATTTATCNATCTGCCTCCCCTCAACTCCTTCAAGTTCACCAGGAAGCTGCAGAGGTCTGGCATGCCAATGCCTGATTCCTCAGTTCACCTTACACCCCCTTTCAGGTATGTGCTCCTGACCCCCTTAAGCCCTTAATTAAAAACTGTTAAGTTTAAAATTTGCTTGTTCCCCGTATTTTATCGCTTGATCTTGTTCTTAAGTGTTCTTAAAACACATTCCCATTGTTTTTGGGTGAATTTCGGTCGGAAATGAGGGTGAATTTTGCGTTTTTTTGTTTGCGAATTTCGTTGCGAGATACGCCAAAACGATTGATTTTCGCGCGAAACCGAGGTAAAAACACAAAAAGTAAACGGTTTGTTCGGTTTCAGGTCAGTTGAGTGAGGTCTCCAGCAAATTTTGGCAAATTTCACCGTTCGGTTTCCGAGATTTCAACAAAAAGGTATTTCCCCATAGGCTTCTTAACAAAATTGGATCAGATCTGATCCAAGTGCATCTTTTGGATTTTTGCAGTTTATATTCAAAAATGGCGGGTTTCGCGTGTCCTTGTTGTTGCTGCTGCTGGTGGTGCATCCTGATGCGTCATCCGGCAGGTGTATCGTCAAAGATGGCCGCCTACACTGTACGGAGGCGTGTGATTCGGACGCCGTTAGAGCGCCGGAGTTTGAAGGCAGGATAGTGCTCACTGGTCCAATCTTGGATTTCGGTTGTCTTGACTTCTTCGGCATAAAGGTTGGTAGATAAACGCTAGTTTTTTGATCTGTGCGTTCATCTTGTCGTGTGTTATGCAGAAAGTCAAGTTGCTGGCTCCTACTTGGTGCGAAGGGATTTTCCGTGCTTCGTTTGTGGATCCGGTCGAGTTGTGCGTGGCTCGTCAGATTTTGGCAGAATTGGAACGCTCGGAGGTTTCTTCGACCTCTGCTCAGATGTTGGAAGTGACGGAGTTTTTGACGGAGGTGAAAAGTTTGGTGACATCGACGATCTTGGCGACAGAGGCGACATCTGTTGCCGTTCCCGCAACCATAACCAGCACTCCGGACTCAGCCTCCATCCGAACTATCGTTCCAAGGTTGCTGACAACACAAACATCTGTTGGAACAACAACACAGACTACCCCAGCTCTTGGTAAGAGCTTAGAACAGCTTGTAGCCATTATTCAGACTTATATACCACAAAATCCGTCTTTTCTAGTTGTTACTAAACCTTCGATTTTGGTCTCCGTCCTCAATAATTTGCCTGAGACAAAAATCCTGGCTGGAGACCGTGCAAACATTACTCTAACGGTGTTGGAAGGAAAAGCGGTTTTGGGGGCAGAATTTGCCAGGGAGCTGTTTTCGAACTGGGCCATAGGGTTAATTAGTGGCCTTGGGCTGACTGTACTCGGACTGGTGACCGGCTGGGCTGCCTGGTGCTTGAGGAAAAAGGTACTTTCACGGTTTCTTGCACTGTTGTTGTTCACAAATACATTCTTTGCATGTTACCTTTCCTTTTAACTGGCTCTCATTAACTAACAGTACCTCCGTAAACCAAACAAGAACGAGTCTAAATCTAAAAAGGATGTCGAAGAGATTGAGATGCAAGAGATGTCCTCGAATCCAATTGTAATGCATGAGACCTCTATTAATGAAATAAAGGATGGATTTGCTACCATTAGGTCACGCATTCCACGCATGACAACCTCTAAACCAAGTAAGACTTAGCTGAATGGAAACCCCTTATTTTGCATGAATGCATGTCTCCTTGGGTGTTTCTTGTTGTCTTCCTTGTCCTTAGCCTTGGTTGCTGTTACTCCTGAGGAGGGCGGACGAGCTGCGGAGAATCCTAACGCCGCCCATGACTCCGGCATCATCGCCTTCACCTCCGCCATTGTTGGGTGAAGCGTGTGAGGTGGCCTTCGACCTGATCTCCTTGAGTCCTGTTCCAGTGGATCTTCCTGTTTTGGTTTTGGCTGCTTCTGTTCCAAATGAGGCTCATATTTTGGAAATTAGTACGGGCTCAGATGATTTTGTTTCGGTAACCGATGATTTAGACGTGTAACCGTTAGGAAATCGTCAATAAAATGAGCTTTGTACAGAGAGAAATCCTGTTTACCTTTACTTCTCAATTTGTGCTCAGGGAAAGAATTCCGGTTGAAGGGCTCATGCGGATTCTGGGATACTTTGGTGCAGGTCGGGAAGGGATGGATTCTGTAACCAACTCGACACGCGCTGACATATCATTTAAATCTATTGCCTCTAAACGCCTTCTTCTCTGTAAAACGTATCGTATCCTCGCAAAACAGAAATATACAATCGCGATAAGAATAATTGTTAGTAATATAATTAAAACAATGAGATAAATATAACCGTTATCCCGAAAATGCAGTTGTAATTCACTAATGTCCTCAATAATTGATTTAATTCCTGGGACATTAGCCGGGATCTCATTAATTGCATTTATCTCGATGTCTTCCAGTTTTGGGGTCATTTTGCAAAATGGCCAGTTAATCACGGTATAACGACAATTAGGTCTAAATTGAATAATACCTGAATATGGCAACTCAGGTATTCTCGGATGCTTGGGCGTTAGTTTCAGAACAATATTGTGTAATGGCGCCCTTTGTCTGAGTCAATAAAAGCAAATTTGTCTGCATCTAATTGTATAACCGTATTTCCTGGTGCTTTAGTTTCGATCAACGGACATTTACTTTTAATTGTGGACTCCAGATCTCCATTCTGAATTGATTTAACACAATCATTAGCTTTGCAGACTGGAGGCCTTGGAAATTTGCAAAGTTTGCATAAGGCATGGCCGTATCGCCGTAAACATAAGGGTAATTCACTTGCTTGTAAAGCAAACATTTTAGCACCTTGAGTAAGCAAATAAGGTTCTGATAAGTTTACCTTATGCCACTTGGGCGCTCCCATGTACGTATCTTCCGCAATCGGCACACTATGGACTTAAACAATTCTAAAAGCTCAGGTTGCCTAATTACTGGTACAATTGTTGTTATCCTGTAATTACACGTTCCATTTGTTCCACACCCGTCCATTGCTCCAATAGTCAACGGATGCGATTTAATTAGTGTTAGTAATTCCTGCACAGGTAAGACATAAATAGGCGGCTTATTTTCAGCCTCTAATACCTTACCTAGCGGCATTGTGTGTGTGAGCGGCATTCACATATTTGTCATAATATAAAAAATTGGGAAATTGGAAATTATGTATCCGATCGATATCTTGTAGTAAGGACGATATAACCTTGTTAGCTTGATCTAATTCTAAGCCCAAACTCAACGTAAGAAACCATGACTCTGTAGAATTGTATTTGGCTTGTTCCACCCTGCTTGCCAAACTGATACTATTTTTAGAAACTTTGTTTGTAACTACTTGATATTTTAAAGAAGTTAACAACTGGACCCTTTTCTCTTGTGCAACTGTTCCTTTGATCTCTTCTTTTCGTCTTTTCAATATGGGAAGCATTCCCGTGAACGTCGCGTCTCTAGGAAAGTTTCTGGGTTCAGTTTGAATTCTATGTTTTAGGTTCTTGATTCTATTGTCTAAATCCGTATTTTTGGCTTTTAACAAACTAAACAGAGCACTGTCTATTGTTTCTCTGGGTGGAATATTGGTTTCTACATGATTAAAGATTTTAGTAGTAATCATGTCAGATTGTTTAACCAATTCTCCTACATCTATCGAGGATTCTACGTCCAATAACCATTCGGTACACATATCGGACACATTTCTTCCAGAACAACACCAACGCTACCAGGAAAGTCGCGTATGGGGGACGTCTTATCAAATCTGTTTAAATTTGATGACGTACCTTTGTTGTTGATGGGGATTTCCTGAATTGTGAGGGAAAATGACACATCCATGATACATATACAAATGTATATTTCCACAAATTTTCTATACACTTCCATAATAATTCTTTGTGAACTCAAACAACTGTTTACCCTTTGACGGCGGACTGCGTACTGGTCACTGCGTAATTTTTTCACTCTTTCGGTGACTCAGTCTTTTTTCGGGCTTGCTTGGCCTTGAGCAGTTCAGCCATGCATGCCTGCTGCCTTGTCAGCGGTTGTTGCCATGAAGTTTTCATTTCTTTCTTTGGCCTCGTTCTGGTTGGCAACACATTGTCTGGGTTTAAGTGACGTAGCGAGGGGCGATCCATTGGATTCAAATCTAATTTCCTTTTTCCTTTGTTGTCCCTCTCTTTCTCTGTTTTGTCATCATCCTCTGCTGCTTCACCTTCCTCTTCTTTGTCTCTAGACTGGGTGGACAGCCTTCTATCCTTTTTCTTGCTGTCTCTCTTTTCCTTGAACTTTTTCCATTTCTCCTTATTCCTTATCTGCCTTGGAGTTAATGCAACTGCTCCTTCTACTTCTCTTTGCGTCATTCTTTCAGGTGTTTTTTTGGGTGTTCCTTCACCTCTTCCTGCTGTCAGTTGCTTCATCAA